GCGGAGGAGGGGGAGGGGAGCGCTGACTCACCCGCCGCGTCACTGCTGGTGGGGGGTGGTTCTCCTTAGCGCAACATGTCACAGTATTTTATATTAATTTATATGGGAAAAATTGTTTCGCATTACGAGTAAGATTCTGGAACGAATTATGCTCGTTAAGCGAGGTTCCATCATATGTGTAAATGGCTGGGAATAATTGGTGTGTTAGAACAGTTTCATAAGGTGTTGAGATTTAGACAGGATTTTGAAAAGTATATTTTGGAGATCACGTTACATGAAATTCACAGAAACTTGGAACACTCTGGAAACAGTCTTGCAGAATAGAAGTAAGCCATTTTGTCCCCAGAATAAAGGCAGCCACACCAACCATTGTGTAACAGAACGGCAAAAATTCTAACCATATTCTAGAAATTGGAAGTTTTGATGTAACCATATACTTCATGAAACAGATAATACTTTGACATTAAGGAGCAAAGAATGACCACTTATGTATTCTTATCCAGCTTATTCCAGTTATCATCATCTTGACCAACATTCCATAAATTCTATTTTGGTACCAAGATCGTCTCTTACATTCATATTTAACACCTACAATTTGTGGTATAATTACTCAATATCATCTAAAAAGAAGTTTCTGTCATGAGTTTCATTTTGATTTGCTTGACATCTTGGTTGCAGGAGGAATATGTTGCAGAAAACATCAAATGGACTCCAATCAGTTACTTCAATAACAAAGTGGTATGTGATCTTATTGAGAGTAAGCGACCGCCTGGGCTATTCTCTGTAATGGATGATGTATGTGCTACCATGCATGCTGTGTCAGAAGGCGTTGATCAGGACCTGCAGAAGGTAAGCATGTGTATGTCTTCATAATATTGTGACACCCATTTATAGGCAATGCCCAAAATACGCGCACGCAACAATAGAATAGGTATTGGAAGAAGTGTTTTCTGAGTGGTCTGTGGCATGCTCAGTGGTAGGCAATGGGCCGATAAACTTGCATTGTGACAACAGAAGAGGTGTTTTCTTTGTGGTATGTGTCATGCCCAGTGCTGGGTAACGGGCCAGTGAACACACATTCTGACATGTGACATGTTTTCTGTGAGGTCGGACCTGAGTCTGTATAATGAGAGGTGAACAGTAGTGGAAGTTCAGTTCAGTTTAGTAGTTGAGTTTAGTGTTCAGCTGTAGGAGTACAGAAGAGTACAAAGAGTGCAACAGAAATTATGTGAATGAGAATTGATGGAGTACAATGGAGTTGTCACTAGGAGATAGCCATGGGAAGTTAGTAATTGAAGAAGAATTAGAAGTCAGCCTGTGAAGACTTAGTGTTTGATTAGAAGATTTAGTCACAGTGAGATTGTGTTAATTCTGTTAGCAGGATAGGACTAGTGAAGATTGGGAATCCCTGGTGCATGTGTAATTTTGAACTGTAAATTGTGTAAATCAGCGATAGCACTGTGTTGCTTGTAAGTATGAGTTGATTGTAAAAAAGTGTTAATAAATCAAATCATCCAGTTCAGAACCCATTATTATTAGTCACAGAACCCCAGACACATGGCAGTATTATATCCAGCAGACATATGACATCATTATACAACAGTTTTGTGTCCTATTTGAAACTGAAAATTTATACTCCTACATGGGTGTATTTGTAAACTATATAAATGTAATGGTTATTAATCTGCCAGACCTAATGCTACAAGTTGTGCAAGAATTGTCAAGCAGATTCTTAAATAGTGAGTGACATGAGGGGCTTGGTACCACTGAAAAATTTATGGATATATTATTCCCTCATTTGGATGTACTTGGTTTTTGTTGTGTTTTATTCAGTGATAGTATTGTGACAAATTTAACATGGCTGCCCCATTGGTAGAAAATATTATAGAAGAACAGTGATGTGTTATATTATTTTTGTAGTTAGAGTATGTGAAAAGTAGTGATTTTCTTATAAGAATGGTGAGTCAGAGGGTCATATAAAAATGGGTGGAATGATACAGAAGGTATGCATTATTATGCATGGTCTTAGCAATCATGGAATGTTAGTTGCATTGAGGTTAAGGATTAGATCTGCCAGTATATCCAGGACAAATGAAGAATCAGCTTCGATGAAATAGGATCTGAAATGAGGATCAGTCATGGAACGAAGCGACAAAAGAGTAGCAGAATTCCCATCTAAAGTGTTTTATTCTGATTGAATCAGGAAGTCTGTCTAACTTCATAACTGCTGCACTGAAAACAATGTAAATATGTTGGAAAAGATATCTTTTAATGACTGTGTGATTATTTTGTCAGAAATATGTAATAAAATTGTGTCTGAATTTTACTTGCCTTCATAGTTGTACACTACAAGCATTGGTTAGGTTGACTCATGGCAGTCTGATGGAACCTTCATATTTGCTTAGTCACTTTACTGGCAGGGAAAGGACTTGAAGGAAATAACACAGTGAGGTAACTGTGTGTAAAGCAGGCGAGATAGGAAGTCTCTTTTTACCATAATACAGGTTTGAATAGAGAGAGACCTGGGAATATGTCCAACTGAGAAAGTTAACAGTGCTGACAGATTATTGAGAAATACTCATGAAAGCCATTTGTATGTGCATAGACATTTCTTTTTAAGTTTTCTGTCCTACCTTTCATTCTTTTTTTTTACCTTTATTTTTCTACAATGTACACATTTTATTATGCAACCTAATTGGAATTTTAAGGGTTACATCATCCAGTAGAGTAAAAATGAAGCAGTATAGTTCAGTGCATCCTATTGGTTTGACACATTTTAAAATGTGAAAGCAAACTCAGTAAATAAAATGAATTCTGACAATGAATCCTATCCCCAGACCATAATTCCAGAGAAAGTAATTCTTTATGGGAAGAAGTACAAATATAAATCTTACAGTGGAATTATTTAGAAGAAATAGCAAAGTTGAGAGATTTGTTATAGTATAGTAAAGGTGATGTAATTGATGCATATTTAGGCTACAGCATGCATCACTAATTAAGGAAATCTCAGGAAAGAATGTGTCTGTAATTAATTCTACACATTGTGTTAATAAAGCAGTTTATACTCAGGAAGTAATAATAATGACCATATCAGTAAAGAAGTTTGTGACAGTATTGACAGACAAATTAAAATAAATGTAGACCACTATTCTATATAGGTCTTCTGCAAAGATACATTTCCCAGTGGAATTTTAAGTCATATTTAGTATATTCCTGTTTATTTCGTAGTAGGATCTACTATAAAGGTGACCAATAGCATTAGGCATACTATACACCATAAACAATAACAGTGTTTTGTTTATGAAAATGGTTAAATTAACAGGAGGCATACACAGATAGAGTTTCTGAAATATGGTCTGTTGAAATCAATGGGAAATTGAAAACATTAATACATGAATTGTGTTTATCATAAGTTTCCAGTCATTTAGGGGGGGGGAGATTACTAACCAGTAATTTATGCTACTGCAATCTTTGACAGTTTGTTGCTTTTGGTAACTGGAAAATGTGTGATTTCAGAGTTTCAGTTAGTGCTACAGAACTTTTTATATATGCAGAGGGACGAATTTACTGTCTCCATCTTTGGAGTAGAGGGAAGAGACTGCTTGGTGTTTTAACCTAGAAGACTGCAATCTAAAAAAGTGTGCTCCTAGAATTATTGTTTTATACTGTATAACATGAAAGTATACCCAGTATTGCATTCCTAAGATAAGCCAAGTCACACAGAATGATTACAGATGCTCAGAAACATCAGCATGCAGCTGCTGAGGTAGGATTGTATCAGTGAGTGAATTGTCAATTTCATGAATGATATATAAGACTCTTCTGTAATCTCAGGATCTTAGAAGCATGGAATTAAATTTAATGTGCATTCTTTTGCCCCGCTTGAATATGTTGCAGAAACTGGCGACGGCATCAGGCACACATCAGCACTACCAATCCTGTAAGGAAGGTTTTATTATCCATCACTATGCTGGTATTGTAACTTACAATGTTGAAGGATTCTGTGACCGGAACCGTGATGTGTTATTTCCTGATTTGGTGGAGTTGATGCAGAGTAGTTCCAAGTAAGTGTGTTCACATTATTAGGCTCTAATATTAGTGGTCATGTACGAAAATAAATGTTGGAAATACATAGCTTGCATAGCAGAGGTGCTAGATTCCGTACCACTTTCTTTTTGTGACCTGTATGTTTTTCAGTTACCATCTTTGTATTTGCACTCTCTAAATGAATGAAATGAAATGGAAATTATTAGAGCCTTTAAAGAAAATCCAACCCGAAGGCACCTGCTGTACCGACTGTGCTACCCTAGCTCGTGGATTCGTTTATATGCATTTTAATTACCCTAACTAGTTTCATGAGTATATCAGGCTCAATGAAAACGTTGTACAATACTGATTTGTTGTTGTACTATCCTAACTGAATCATAGGCTCTCTTGAAGTCTACACGTAGTTGACGTACTGTCCCAGTGTAGGTCTGTGTATTCTGTATACCTGATAAATGCAAGCAATCTGATCTGTAGTTAATCTGTTACATTGAAATCCACACTAATGACCTGTCATGATTTTGTACATGGATTTAACCTTGAGAGAATAATGTTGGGTAAAATTTTATGTGAAGTTTGATAAAAGTGATATACCTTGATTATTACTACAGCCAATTTTATTCCTTTCTTTTAAATAGTTACAGCGATAAGCTGCTTCCACTGCTGAGGAAATTCTTCCTTATTTTGAACAGTATTAATGAGTTTATGGATCTCAGACTGTAATGTTTCACTGTTTGAAACAGTTCTGTCAGAAGTAGATCAATACCTAATGATTTATAACTTTCCAAACTTTCATTACCATTCTCAGCTTCAAAAGAGTTATTGCTCAGATATGTTGAAAGGTATGCTAAATCTTACTGTGTCACTTTTGTTGTTCACATTTATAAGAGTATATTATTTTTAAAATTTTAAAGGTTTAGTTTTTTAGTCAGATAATTAGGTTAACTGCAGTATTTCAGCAGCTTATCCCCAACAAATGGAAAGACAAATGTATATTGGCTCAGTCATAGTATCATTTGTCATTATGCACATGCATACACCTATAATAAGATTGTAGTTGTTAAAAAAAGAGTTGATGGTACCGTATTTCTGACCTTATATTAATGGTGGTAGTATTACTTCCATGTCATATGTTCACATTACTGTTATATTGGTGTTGTTGATGGTTGGAAATTAAGTTAAGTGTGTGGTATATTGTCTAGTACATTATTTCACATAAGCCTCCAGGTTCAGGGCTTCACTAGTAACTCTTGGGGGATAGAAGCAAAGGCACACAAGGACATACAATCATAAATCTTTCTGGTCTATAAAAAGTAGGAAAATAGGCTGAAAACTGTAAGGTAATTGTATTCTTTTTGTTCGCAGTGCATTCCTTCGTAGTCTCTTCCCTGACCAAATAAATGCAAACTGTAAGTCTCGTCCCACCACAGCTGGCAGCAAGATTAGAACCCAGGCCAACAGACTAGTAGATGAACTGATGAAATGCACACCTCACTATATCAGGTAATAGAATGTTCATAACCCTTATAGTATCATTCAGACAGAATTGATGCACTTAGCTATTTTCTCTGACCCTGAAGGATACATTTTAGTCTATAATTACTATGAGAGAAGAATTTATTTTAAATTTTCATGTGCCTATTTCACACAGTGCTAGAAGTATATATGAATTAAGTCTAATGTATAAAATATGTTTTTTATTTTTAAATTTTTTTAAATAATTTTATTTTATAATAATTTTAAATAATTGTTGAAATTTCATTGAACCTCCCTTAGAATGAGGAGCTGGGATAGCGTATTTGGTATAGTGACTGGCTATGGGCCAAATTACCGAAGGGTCAGAGTTCGAGTCCTGGTAGGGTCAAGAATTTTCTCTTCTCCACGTTGTCCATACCAGCTCTGGGGTCCACCCATCCTCCTATCCAGTGGGTACTCGGGGCTCTTTCCCCGGGGGTTAAAGGGGTCATGGCATGAAGCTGGCCACTCACCTATAGCTAGTGCCAAAGTCAAGAAGATGTGGTCCATATGCTTTCATGGCGTAGTGCTTAATTAGTTACACACAGGGACAACATTACCTTTTTTTTTTACCTTAAACCCCCCCCCCCCTCTTAGAGTGGTTTATGACTTCTCAATTTGACCATACCTTACACATGATCCTCCCATCGTTCCATCCATGGCAGTTTGCAGTCACCTGTGACCCTCTCGTCCCACTGGTGATTAATTCATTCCCTTCAAAACATTCTGTTCAGTTTAGTGTATGCTTCTGAAATAAGATCAGATATCTGATGGAAGCTAATTCATCTAGGGACACAGCAACAGTTGCACGATGTCCGTCTAAGACTATATTTATGTACATCATATAATACTTACTTCTGAGTGAAGCTGCTGCATAATTACCAACATAGTTAATCTTTCTTGTGCTGTCTCTGTATTCCCAAATTTAACTTGAGTTTTCTCTTTCCTGTGCTAGCATGTCTTACATACTTGAAATGTGAGGTAGACCAATCAGTGCCAGTCACCAGATGCAGTACATAGTGATACAGTTACGCTCCATTGGTTTCGAGGTTCTCAGAGTGGTGACATGGAGGCAGTACATTATTCCTACTTCTGCTGAACTATGCAGCATCTTATCAGAAGATAATACTTTTCATAACAGTCTTCCATAGGGTTGCTATTTGAACCTTTCTGGTGGTGTCAAACCATTTGGTTCCCCAAACTCTGAATCTTGTCTCCCACATACAGAGCTCTAGGCTGCACTTCATCCAGATTTTCTTACATGAAGCCCTAAACCATTATACTTCATCATTAAGAGAAGGCTTCTGTCTTCTGGGATATAACACCATGTAGTCCAGTGGAAGTCAAGCGGCATTTCATAGGGATTATCACCTTCATATTTAGGATTGAAGAGTAAGATAAGCGAGGAACCAGCCCAAAGTACACAGCAATCAGCGCTACTGGAAAACACAGCATTGTATCCCAAAAGACAGACTCTTTATAGTCACCTGTATAAGAACCTCAGATGCAACTGCCACCACTGTTTGGTTCACATATGTCACTGAACAATACTGAAGCACTTTATCATGCCATCCCTTGATATTGTTTGTTTGGCCTTCCTCATACCAGCCTGTCTTAGAAAGTTATATACAAGAACCCCATAAGGTCTTCTCCCCCTGTAACTGGTGTCAGCTTATCTACAGCCCATCCTGTTGTTATATTTCTGTTCAGACTTTAAGTGGAGTGTTATGCTGTAACATCTCTTGTTGAAATCTGGGCTTAATGGCAGCTGACTAGCCTCACTACATACGTTTTATTGCTTTGAATATGTGGCTTGTCTTGTCTGTCATTTACAATCCTGCATGTATTGGCTACTTCCTTTGTTTGATATTTGCAGGTGCATTAAACCCAATGAAACAAAACGCCCAAGAGACTGGGAGGAGCTGAGAGTGAAACATCAAGTTGAATATTTAGGGTTGAAAGAAAACATTCGTGTTCGTAGAGCTGGATTTGCATACAGGAGACCATTCAACAAATTTCTGCACAGGTTAACTTTGTTAGATAAATATGCTGTTGTGTATTTTTTTTATTATTAGTGTAGCTTACGTACAAATAATATGTTTCAGTACAAAAGTAGATGAAAATAAGAACACACCATATAGTTAAAAAGTTGGTAAGCCATCAGTTATCAGTTATTTGCAATGACTGAACTTGCTTTATAGACATACTAGAATAATTGATAATTATATTATTAATAATTAATGTGGACAAGATTTTCCTAATTCATATTGGCATTATGAAGATGCATTTAAGGCATGCAGTAAATAAAATCAGGAGGCAATCTAAGATGGCTTCATCATATCAAATTACAGGAGAAGTAAATTAAAGCAGTGTATGTGCTAAAACCTGAAATTCCATTAGAATCTTACAATTTCTTACAATTCCCATGTTCTGTATGCTGGAGTATGCTGCTGAGTGTCATATCTTGAACTAGGCCATGAAAAATTTTTCCCACATCCTTTCCATTTTGTAAATTACATTCATCTTACCCTTTGGTGCTGTATAGCATGCAATTGACAAAATACTTTTATTTAACCTAAGAATTAATCAACACTGTACAGGTATGCTATCCTGACCAAAGAAACATGGCCCAGATGGCAGGGTGATCTGAGAAAAGGCGTAGAGTGGATTATGAAAAGTGTCAACATGGAAAAGAGCCAGTTTCAGCTTGGTAAAACTAAGGTCTTCATCAAGGCACCAGAATCTGTGAGTGTCTGTTGTGATATTTAAATGTATTACATTAGGTTATTTGGGGGCATGCAGTAGGGTAATTGGTTGAGTCACTATGCTACAAGCCGGAAGGTCGCAGGTTGGAGTCCCGATGAGGTCATTGGATTTTTTTCAATTGCCCTAATCCTTCCAGACGCACTTTGGCCCTGGGATTGACTCAGCGCATAACAGAAATGAATACCAGGAATATTCTTGGAATATTCTCGGGGGTAAAATGCGGCCGGCTCGTAGGTTATTTATTAATTCTATCCAAAAATTAACATTATTCTTATATGAAATTGAAGAAAGTATAAAGGTACAGGTTGTAAAGTCAAAGTAAAGCGGGTCCTCTTCACTTAATAAATAATTCTGAGAGAGATACTAATATGGGAAACATTACAACTGTTAGGTGTTACATTATCAATTGNTTATAAAGTAACAGCCAGCCGACTACAGTTGGAGTATAGCAGCCGTCGCGGTAAGAAGATCCGGACGTGTGTGCGATTGTGTAATTGGGAGCGTGTGATACAGTGATACAAAGCTCCCCTACTGTCAACGTGTATACTACTGAACACAGAGTGAACTGATTTGCGCATAGGGTTATAAATCGTGAAACCCCGCAACAGTGTCGACAGATTAATGCGCTTAGGGTTATAAAGTGTGAAACCCCGCAACTGTAAGATAAGTAATTGTAGCCGTTAGTTGTAGATTGTTAAATAAACCAATTAACCATCTCTACGGCGTCTTCAGTAACGAGGAAACACGTTACATTATTATGAGAAATTTGTAAAGGTTTCATGTTTCAAATTGACTTCTACACTTACTGCAGCTTGTTCACATTAAAGAAATAATAGTCAGAAGCACAGTCACAGCGATTCTTAAGATAGCTACCAGATATTTTATTGAATAACAAATGATCCATAAGTAACCAGGTATAAAGTGTTAACAAATAAGTACAAATTCATATTTATGTTTTATGAATATTAAAATATTGTTTTAATGCTTGAATTAAATGCAGCTGTTCATGTTGGAAGACCAAAGAGATAGGAGATACAATCAGTATGCAAGAGTAATCCAGAAGGCGTTTAAAAAGTACTTTGCGCGCCGACAACATGACCGACAGAAGGAAGAAGCTGCAAGTAAGTGGCTCACATAAAGTAAGGTAAGGTATTCAGAAAATTGTTTAGTGCCTTCTGTTTATAGAGAGAAGTTTCCTGCTTCTGCAGGTCTCACTATCCAGTCCAAATGCAGCAAGTGTCTTTCTTTGTCCCATGTTTGTTCTGAATGCTTTTAGGTAATTTACCTCTTGATGCCAGTAGCTTATATGTGGGGCAATCAAAAAGTTTCCGAAATTTGAATTTTGCGCGTGAATGGTTATGAGTACATCAAAATACTGCTAGGTGTCTCCTCACACATCCTTCTTGAATCAGTGTGGCAAGCGGCATTGAGTTGAGTGGTTGGGTTTATTGTTGGTGAACGTATTTCCATTGTTGTGTTTCCGTGAGTTTGCGGTTTTGCGATGGCTGACCTGAGAGAGCATCGATTCTGTACAAAGTTTTGTTTTAAACTTTGGGAAACCTGCTGCAGGAATGCACCAAATGTTGAAGCAAGCTTTTGATGACAAGCGCTTAGACCAGACACAAACTTACAACTGGTGTAAGCGTTTTAAAAGTGGCCGAACATTGACTGATGATGACGATCGTTTGGGACGGCCGTCAATGGGCAGAACACCAGAAAATGTCGTGAAAGTTAGGGATCTGATTCTGCAAGATCGTAAACTGACCATCCAAGACCTCTGTAACACCTTGGGACTAAGTTATGGTACATGTCAACGAATTTTGTCAGAGGAACTGAACATGAGGATTGCGGCAAAGTTTGTGCCACAACTGCTGCAAAATGAACAGAAGCAGCATTGCTTGGAAGTCTGCAGGGAACTTCAGCAACAGCTTCAAGAGGATCCAAACTTTCTTTCGAAGGTTGTCACTGGTGAGGAAAGTTGGGTTTATGGCTATGACCCTGAAAGCAAGCAGCAATCGTTGCAATGGAAGAGCCCTTCTTCACCTCGGCCAAAAATGCTCGACAAGTCAAGAGCAACATTAAGTCCACGTTGATCTGTTTTTTGATATTGACGGGATTGTTCATAAGGAGTTCATCCCTCCTGGTCAGACAGTCAATAAAGAGTTCTATCATGATGTTCTAAGGCGTTTGAGGGAGAACATGAGGAGAAAACGTCCAGAGAAGTGGAGCACGAATGACTGGGTACTCCACCATGAAAACCCACGACCTCATATGGCTTAGATTGTGCAGGAATTTTTGGCTAAAAACAAGATGGCAGTTGTTCCTCACCCACAGTACTCGCCAGACTTAGCTCCATGCGACTTCTTTCTCTTCCCCAAGATGAAAATCAAGTTGAAGGGGTGAAGACTTGATACAGTTGAGGAAATTCAAGCAGAAACGCAGACGGTACTAAACACCCTAACAAAGAAAGATTTCCAGGATGCATTTCAAAAGTGGCAGAAACGCTGTGATCGGTGTATGTGCTCCCAAGGGGACTACTTTGAAGGTGATGGTGCAGAATAAGATCTAGGTAAGATGTAATAGTTTTTATTAATATATTTCGGGAATTTTTGGATTGCACCACATATCTGTTTGTAGCTCTAAAATGTTAGGCGGTCATGTCAAACAAATATTACATCAGTACATTAAACAAGAACAAAGAGGAATGAAATTTAGAGAGACATGAGTTTATAGACTTTCCTGAATATTATAATACCTATATGCAAGAAGGAGATTGAGGTTTGGTGTTTTCATGGCACTGACTATGAAGATGCTGTCATCTGGGATGTGAGACGATCTAATCTGGTAGATCATTACTGAAGGTTTGGAGGAAGATACTGACATGTGCCTCTCTGTTAAAATGGAAAGTTGGGGTATTATTTGCCATGCTTAGGGGACCCCGCAGTGATACCCTTTTCCTTAGCTCATTAAGATTCTGTATTGTGATGTCGAGTTATTTCCTCTTTGACTATGTTTTGCTTCAAACCACAGCCAAAGAGGAAACCCAGTGATGCCCTTTTTTTACCTTATTAAGATTCTGTGTTGTTGTGATGTTGAGGTAAAACAGAGTCAAAAGGGAAACAACTTGACATTACAACAACACAGAATCTTAACAAGCTAAAAAAGGGGCATCACTGCATGGGCCTCTGAGGATGGAAAATAATATCCAAACCTTCCTTTTTTAACAGAAGAGGCACAAGGCCACAAATCATATCAGTTCAAGATGTTAAATATTATACATTAATATGATCTTTAATCTAAATAATTGTAAATACTTTTTTATATAACAGCTTCTCAGTATGTATTGTGAGCTTTGTAATAGTAATTCCTAAATATGTTGATTTTGTGCCTAATGACGATGGTCAAAGCTGAACGAAACATGTAAAGGCATTGAATATCTACAAAATGAATGACACTAGTCGGTGTTATCAATTATTGTATAATAGAGGTAAGAAGCATATGAGGTTTTATCATCCATGGGTTCAAATGCATGAATAAAGAATACAGTAGAATATACACATAAATTCAGGGACACACGTTTCTTAAAATTCTGGGTTTTTTGGTTTTCCTTTTTTTTTTTCCTTTAACATGCTGTAATTTGACAGTGTTTTACTAAGTTTTTAACATTGCTTTTTGCATGTTTTATGATCTTACAGGCATTTTTTAAATATGAGGGTTGGAACTTTAATAGTGGCAACTATTTATTTACAACTGATACAAAATAGATGCATGTTTTGAAGTTTTACTGTCCTTCAGTGTAGTCACCAGCATAGTGTACAACCCGTTGCCAGCAATGTGGAAGTCGTAGCATACCTTTAGCAGTGCCTGTTGTGTTGATAGTTCAAATGGAGCGGTCTACTGCCTGAAGAATCTCTGGAACAGTTCTGAAGAGAATGCCATGAAGTGGTTCATCTTAGGAATCAAGTTGAAGTCACAAGGGCTTAAGTCCAGGGAGTATGGTGGATAGTACAGCACTTCCCAGCCCCATCGATTGAACAAATCAGCCACAGCTTGCACTGTGTGTGGCCGAGCATTGTCCTGCAAAATGATGGGTGGGTTCTGCAGAAAGTGTTGCCGCTTCTTTCTCAAAGCTGGTCGCAGGTTGTGTTACAAAAATGAACAGTAATACTGTGCATTGACTGTCTGCTGTCAGGGAACGGTATGCGTTAGGATAACACCATCACAGTCGTACACGAAAATCGCCATAACTTTCACATTGTTGGGGTTCTCACGAACTTTTGAGTTTCGTGGTGACCCGTAATTACGCCGTTTATTCGATTGGCCTTTCATTTGTGGCTCATACGATTTGGCCCATGTCTCATCCAGCGTAATGATACAGTGTAAGAAAGCCTCTCCTTCGCGCTCATAGCGCTCCAAGTGGTTACAAGCAGTGTCATATTGTAGCCATTTCTGTATTTCCATCAAATCGTGCAGAACCCATCGTGATGCAATTTTCTCATACCCAGGCGTTCCTTCAGAATGTGAAGCACAGTTTTATGCGCTAATCCTGTCTCTTGAGCCAGCTCACGAATTGTATGACGTTGATCCCTCTCCAGTAATGCGAAAAGAGCATACACTTCTTCACTGACACTAGGACAACCTGGCCAATGTATGTCTGCCACATTTTGGCGTCCCTTGTTGAAGGCTTTTACGCACCTTGCCACTGTTCTCTAAGGCAATGCAGGTTCCCCGCAAGACTCTTGAAGACCTTGATGACACTGTCATGCTGTACGGCCTCTGGCACATTCAATCTTTATCCAACTCCATTGTTCCTGTTTCTAAAACATCGTGAAAACACTACATTAGACTGCCAGCTAACATGAGGCTCTGTTCTTCTCGTCACTGCGCATGCGCGTGATGTGGGAAGTGAGAGTCCATTTGCTCTGAGGTAAGGTAGGTATGTAACATAATGTGTGGTATAAGCGACATTATTTGGGTCCGTTGCATGGTGTCTCTACAGCAGTGTTGCCACTATTAAAGTCCCAACCCTCGTATAAAACTGCAGATGTGTTTATTCACATTTAACAATGTAAATTCTGATGTGTATTATTTCTTAGAATCCAGCAAATAAACTGATGTAGGTAATTCATATCATTGCAAGTTTTATACTGTCTTTTTTTAGATTTGATGTTTGGTAAGAAGGAACGGAGAAGATTTTCAATTAATCGTAACTTTGCTGGTGACTACATTGGTCTTGATTCAAGACCTCTCCTCCAAAACCTTGTTGGGCGTCGAGAGAAAGTGGCATTTGCCGAAGTGGTAAAGAAGTATGACCGACGATTTAAGGTGAGCTATTCTGAGCTATTACAAGCTATAGAACTGTAACTGAGATAAAAATGGAAACATAGGTTAAAATGATGTCGGAATTTCCGAATGGCCCAGTATGTCACCTGATGCATAGTTTTTGCTTGCATGAGTGAACATAGTCCAGCATACAAAGTCAGTGAGCTTTCCACAGATATTACGGTAATATGATTCATATGCTCAGTTGAAGGTATTGAAGAAATGTGCTTCACAAACAGTTTCTGTCCCTCTTTTAACACTTTGCGGACTGGTGGCATATTTCTTTTAAACGTGGTGGCCCGGTGGCATATTGTTATGACTTTAGGACATGTTATGTTGAAACACACTATACCTTGCACTGGTGCCAGGCAGACGCATGACTGATGCGTGATAGACGTCTTGAATGTTTACTTCGTAGTCAGTAACATGACCCCACTGTTTATGACCCAGCTGTTTTCCTTTCTCACTCCAAAAGAAAATGCCTTTGTTCATCTTCCAGCTGCATGCACCAGGCAGGAAGTTACTAGTGCAAAATAGATCAAGGTCGGAAGAGGTTGAGGTCCAGGCATTTTCCCAGAGAACAAGAAATATCTGACTTGTTCTTCGATGACCTATCTGAGGTCCCTTGTGAGTCTGCTAGTGATGGTGACTCACAATCTGATAGTGAGTGTGGCAGGGGCGAACAAATGATTGACCAGACAGACAGTGAAAGTGAAAGTGAAAGTGAAAGTGGAAGTGACAGTAGCTCTGATGAAAGTGCGGGTAGAAACATTGCGGGGACAGCCACATGAGGAAAAGTAGACAAAACGCCTCTTTGGGACAGTTTACTGGACATCCAGGGGTGAAGCAAATTCCATCGGACCCAATGTAAGTGTCTGAAGTAGCGGAAATGTGTTTCCACAGTTCACAATTCGAGCATGGTTGATAAGGAGACATGGACAGGTAAAGAAGCCTGTTTGTATTTCCGAGTATAATATGTTCATGAAGGGAGTTGATAGAGCCGATCAGTACTTGGCCTATTATTCTCTTCCTCGGAAAACAGTAAAGTGGACAAAGAAAGTTGCCTTGTGGCTTATAAATTGTGCCATTTTCAATTCATTTTTGGTTTTCAAAAATCTAAACCCTCATTCAAAATTGAAATACAAGGCATTTCTGCTGAATGTGGCAAAAGCCTGGGCTACAGACGTCACGGTGGCGGCAGAACCGGCGGAAGACACAGTCTTAGTACGACTGGGGCTGTCTACTCCCACCCCAGGCAGGCCTCATTTTGACCCCCCTGGGCGACTCTCGGGTGATATGCAGAAACATACTCTCGTGAAAATTGTGAAGAGTGAACATACCAAGGGGAAGCAGCCTTCTAGGTGATTCCATGTTTGCACAGTACACAACAAAAGGAGTATGACTGTCTACATGTGCAAGTTCTGTATAATGCCACTTCACAAAGGGGAATGTTTCCAGAAATATCACACTCTCAAGCACTTCTAGGAGAATTGGTAAGTGTTCTCCAAAAATTTTAGTTCATAAAATTAATTAGGAGATTTTATATTAATTTTTAATGTGAACAGTGCACAAGTTACGGTAGAAGGTTTAAAAATGACGGTTCCCAGGGTGTTTAAATTGCCGGTCCGCAAAGTGTTAAGTTTTGTGAGCATAGCTGTCAGCAGGAAGAGTATGTTACAGTTTTTGGTTGATTATCTTTTAGATTGGGGCTCACCAGTGAAGCCCCCTCCCTGTTTTCAGAAGGTCTTCAGTTCTTTTACTAAATATTCCTTGCAGTTTCCATGTCATTGAAATACTTTCAGAAATGATTTTCTCTATTGATCCTGCATTGTTTCCTGGCTTCTGTAAGGAGTGAAGGGCAATGTGAATGAGGTTTTATCAAACATATTTCACATGGGCAGAACATGTAGTTAAGTACCAAGTTCTTCACACAAATAAAATTAAAGAAAATAAGAATAATAGTAATAATAATGAGGCATGTCTGCTGAAAGCCAAGACTGTGGAGCCAGAGAAACAGCCATTGCTAGGCAACGGCTATGTAACACGCAACAGTGGAGTGACTGGGAAGCGGTTTTTTCTATGTGGTCCATGCTGATATTGTTGGGAGAGGTGCCATTAAAAGAGTCCTGAGACAGCAGCTGGAAAAGTAGGATGTTGGTGTGAGATGGCCGCCAGCCTGCAAGGATGTGAGCCCAGAAGCAGAGGAACGTCCACTGTTGGAAGATGTTACCAAGCAGTACAGTGAAGACCATGGCTGAGAACACTAGTCTGTGTGTGACAGTGATTTGTAGAGTGTACCACGAGTTGTGTATTGAAGTGTCCAACTACCAACCCAAAACCTCATCTCTAGTCACTCCAACACATGACAGTATAATAGATCTGTAATACTAGAAATTGTGCAACAGTGAAGCAGGATATGCAGTCTGGTCAGAACTGCTTGTTATGTCTTGTATTTGAAGAAACTCAGCCAGATGGCTCAGAGCCCTCTTGTGTTATAGAAAATTTTCTGGAAAGATGTTTATTTTAATTTCTTGTAAGATCAAGAGAGGAAATTACTGTAGAACATACGTAAATTTTGGTAAATAATTTGGTCTTAGCTGTTGCTGACCCATTTAAAAGATCCACAGTGAAAGCGCACTTTTTCACTCAGTTTATAGAATATAACATTAATGTTTTCACTTGTACGTGATTATTTCATTATGGCAGAAGGATAACATTTGCTAATTGTGAATTCAGTTTCTTCCTATAAGGAGAAACAGCATTGCATTTGTAATTATGTTTTTAATTTATTTCTAGGCAGCCCGCAGGGACTTGATATTAACATCTCACTCGGTTCTCTTAGTTGGGAGAGAAGCAGTGAAGAAGGGACCTGAGAAAGGAAAGCCTGTTGAAGTTATGAAGCGAAAGTTAGATTTTGAAGATATCAGCCATGTGTCGCTTAGTACCTTACAGGTAGGAAGAGATTGTGGAGGAAATTTCTTGTTAGATAGAAGTTGAAAGATGCACTGCACTTGAGTACAGTACACATTTGACATATATATTTTGTTTTAGATTTTTTCACTCCCAATTGTTGTTTGTTTTACTTTATTGCAGATAAAATTTGTTGTTGTTACATTACAGATGTCATGTTGTTTAGTAACTTTATTCCTTCAAACGGCCTCCATAGTCTAGAGGTAACGTTCCCACCTCATGACTCGTATTACGCGGGTTGAAATACCCGGCAGAGGTCGTCGAATTTTTAAGGGCAGATAAATTCAGGGAACAAGTCCTCCGAGAGGGACTTTAAGCTGTGGGTCCCGTGTCGTAGCTATACGACACGTAAAAGAACCTCATATCTCCAAAGGAGGTCACTGAGCCAAATTAACGGACGTTTCCCGCCCAACAGCAGTCTCTAATACCTCTGGTAGATGGGGGAAGCATTATAGATACCTCTCAGCTAGTAGAGCCGGTCTCGCTGGCTGGGCGGGACTGGTGGTAAGCACCAGTACTGGTAGGATATAGAGACTGGTAGAAATCATAGAGGGAAGCACAATGGACCAATACAGGTCTCAGTACATGGGGAAACCCACCCTCTCCAATAACTAACTAACTAACTTTATTCCTTTTAAAAATGATAATGATGGTGTACATTCACAAGATGATACCAGCACCAAACTGTTCCTAGCCAAGATTGTTCATGCTCTATTTATTTCACTGTGCTGCATAATTGTTCATTTTAGGATGACTTCTTAATCCTGCACATGAAAGAAGATTATGACAGTTTCCTTGAGATTGTTTTTAAGACAGAGTTCCTGTTGTTGTTAAACAAGAAGTACCAGGCCCAATTAGGACGTGAGATAACAGTTAAATTCTCAAACAGGTGAGGAAGATGTTATATTAATTTTCAGGTTGAAATATCAACATGCTTTACTGTATCTGGCCATTGTCATTGATACCAGTATTATGCTTCTTAGTTCCTTTAACATCAACTGCATAGGTCGTCGTCATCATCATCATCTGTAGCATGCTGCTGCTGCTGATGATGATGATGACTATCAGAAAAGGATCTGAAATTAAGTGGTTGGCCAATTTTAAGGTACTATCATGTAATTTCCATGAAGGTGTTGAAAAATCCCAAACAGTCTCATATCAGAAACCTCTCATGTATGAAACAGGAGTGTTAAACCATTTGACTGAAGTCTTTGATTTGTCCTTGATATTATGGGAAATAGATGGCTTCTGCAGTCTGCATCAGAGAATTTACATGTTCTAAGGTAGAAGTGCTCATCACTCATGCTTAGAGCCATTTTAATTCAGGATCAAGAAACGTTGGTCTGTAGTTGCAGGTAAAAGAAGTTATGTAAGCATGAGAAAATTGTTAATTTCTTGATTTTGAGATGTTTAGATAGTTGAATTATTCTCTGTTATTTTCTTGAAACATTTTAAACAACTTAGGAAATGTTTTCATATTGTAAGAATTTGGTGTGTTAACTTGTTATTGCCTGCAGACTGCATAAAATACATTTTTTAATTGTCTTGAAAACTGTATGACTTAAAGAAAAGTGTATTGTGTGTAAAGTGAGTTTTATTTTTATCTGAAACTTCTATAGGAGCCTGGATATGGGCTGAACAGCTGAAGAATCATGCTTCAGTTCTCAACAGTGACAAGAGAGTTCTTTTTCTTTGTTCCTAAGCATTTACCTTGCGTGTAAAGTGGCCAGAGTGTGAAGCTGACCACTCACCTCCATCCAGAGCAAGATTAATATTGTGTGGACCTTTGCCTCCACTCCTTCATATGTCCTCATGTCCTGGTGCTTAATTAATTAACACTTTGCGGACCGCGCACCCTTTAAAAGGTTTTTCGCTTTTAAACATGGCGGACCATTCGCGTGTTAACAGGTTTTTAAAACACGATAAGTTGCAACACACTATACATCTCTCTGGCTCCACGTAGCTGCTTGCAGCTGCGTTATAAGGCTCTGGAATGTCTGCTGATCAGTCAGTTAGTAGACCTCACTGTAACTCTATGCCCATGCGAAGGAAAATAGATGCCTTTATTTCTTCAAGCTTTATGTAGCAAGCTGTCAGTCAGTAGTTCAGTATGGATCAAAGACCAAAGCGGTTGACACCCAAGTGATTTCTTGGAGAACAAGAAATATCTGACTTTTTCTCCGATGAGCTATATGATGTCCCTTGTGAGTCTGCTAGTGATAGCGACTCACAATCTGATAGTGAGTGTGGCAGGGGCGAACAAAAAATTGTGACCACAGACAGTGAAAGTGAAAGTGACCGTAGCTCCGACGAATGTGAGGGTAGCAACACTGCGGGGACAGCCACATTGGGAAAAGTAGACAAAACGCCTGTTTTGGGACAGTTTACTGGAAATCCAGGGGTGAAGTAAATTCCATCGGACCCAACGCAAGTGTCTGAAGTAGCGGAACTGTTTTTTTGGAGATAGTTTCTTTGACATGCTATGTCAGGAAACTAACAGATACTATCTCCAACACCGTGAACATTATGACAGAAGTTATAAGGCGTTGAAGTGGGTGGATGTCACTTCAGCAGAAATGAGAAAATTTTTTACAATTATCTTTCTAATGGGCCATACAAGGAGGGATAATCTGAAAGAGTATTGCTCAACAGATCCATTTTTAGAAATTCCAATTTTCGGCAAACTAATGAGCCATAAGAGATTTGAGCAAATTTTGTGGTGTTTGCATTTCAGTAATAATGAACTGCAACCACAATCAACAAGCAGGCTTTTCAAAATTCAGCCCTTATTGAACTTTCTCGTTCAGAAATTTCAGACAGTTTATAAGCTAAACCAACAACTGTCTTTGGACGAATCTGTGATTCCTTGGAGGGGAAGGCTTCGTATGTGAACATATAATCCTGGGAAACTTACAAAGTATGGCCTACTTGTTTGTGTAGTTACTGAAAGCACTTCAGGCTATATTGGAAATTTAGAAATTTATTCTGGTGAAGGAAAGAAATTACAAGAAACTCTTCTTTCCGTTTTGGAACCCTGTCTTGATCAAAATTACCATGTCTATCAAGACAATTATTATAACAGTGTGGCAACTGCAGAACGCCTATTTTCGAGGAAAGTACGTGTTTGTGGAACAATTAGGGTGAACAGAGGCCTTCCTCCAGATATGAAAGAGGAATGTAAATCCCTGAAACATGGGGAAACCACATTCAGGAGGAAAGGGGTTATTCTTCTTTGGTCCTGGAGGGATACTCGTGTTGTGAATATGATTTCCACAATTCACAATTCGAGCATGGTTGATGTTCAAAGGAGACATGGACAGGTAAAGAAGCCTGTTTGTATTTCCGAGTATAATATTGTGACATGTTGCGCAATGGAGGACACCCCTCCCTCCCCAGCGGTACGTGGCGGTATAGTAGCGCTGTCAATACTATGGTAATAGGCAAGTCAACACCCTGCCCCTCTCCCCGCGGTGATGTAACACGCAGCGCCGCAATTGCTACGTACCCGTAAACAACTCCCAACAGCGTTGCTATGTAACAGGCAGACACTGCGACTATATAAGGGAACTATACAGCCGCCGAAGGCAGTTAAAAGTGTATCAGCCGCCGAAGTGAGTTCTCAAGTCAGCAGTGAACGAGTTCTCAAGGCAGCAGCCTACAGTTGAGTTGGAATCTAGCCAGCGGCGAGTTACGAGTTGAATTGAATTGTAGTAGTCACCGTATTCAGTTGTAATGAGCGAATCGTGACAGAGTGAATTGATTTGTGTGTAGGGTTTGTAAATTGTGAAACCCCGCAACAGTGTTGTAATTAATTGTAGCCGAGACTGGTAGGTTGTTAAATAAACCAATTAACAATCCGAATGGTGTCATCAGTTACACTGGTGTCAGAATTGTTTACGAACTTAAACAAGCCTCAACAAATAATTGAATTATTGTGCATCGAGTACTTTACTGCAACAAAATGGAGAAACAAGATATGCAGCAAATAATCGCCATGCTGGCAAAATTAGATGCCGATAGAACAATCACTGCAAGGAGTAGCCGAAATACCAGGAGACGCAGAAAGCACAGCCTCTAAAGACAAGGGAACAGGGGTGCACCATTAGGCTATTTGGGACGAACAGCCTTAAGGAGGGAGCAGTGTGACGTGTTGCGCAATGGAGGACACCCCTCCCTCCCCAGCGGTATGTGGCGGCATCGTAGCGCTGTCGTTACTATGGTAATAGGCAAGTCAACACCCTGCCCCTCTCCCCGCGGTGACGTAACACACAATGCCGCCATTGCTACATACCTGTAAACAACTCCCAACAGCATTGCTACGTAACAGGCGAAGACTGCGACTATATAAGGGAACTACACAGCCGCTGAAGGCAGTTAAAAGTGTATCAGCCGCCGAAGTGAGTTCTCAAGGCAGCAGCCTACAGTTGAGTTGGAATCTAGCCAGCGGCGAGTTACAAGTTGAATTGAATTGTAGTAGTCACCGAGTTCAGTTGTAACGAGTGAATTGTGACAGAGTGAATTGATTTGTGTGTAGGGTTTGTAAATTGTGAAACCCTGCAACAGTGTTGTAATTAATTGTAGCCGAGACTGGTAGGTTGTTAAATAAACCAATTAACAATCCGAACAGCGTCTTCAGTGGCTAAACACGTT